ATTGTCTCGGCCTCCATCTCAGGCATCACTGCTTCTTTGGTTAGGGTCCCGCCCTGGGCTCTTCTCCGTTGATGGTCCCAGGGACCTCCGCTCCTAGACTGGAAAGTTATTCCCTCCCTTCCTTGATGTAAAATTTCTACCTTTACATTTCCAACTTTCACTATCACTCCTGATAACAGTTATTCACTATTGCATCACAAGAGACCCATCTGCATTTCATTTCATCAGCTCTGCCTAGGCAGATGGGATACTACTCACTGGAGATTCTGCCTTCCTCCAAGCCCTCTGGCTCTAGGTTCCCTCTTGAAAGCTTGTAAGCCAGTCACTTCTTGCCTTTTTAGCCCCCTTCCTTCCATCTCTCTTTGATACTTCCTGTGTTCTTCAATATTTTGCCCATTTTTGTTTTGTTTTGTTTTTTTGCTGTTGTTGGTGTTAAGTACTATTGAGTCCATAGAATCCTTCAGTATTTCAAATTGAGCCTTGCATTTTTTCTTTCAGTTATTTTAGCTTGAGAAATGCTGAGTGTGTTCTTCCCTTTTGGTTATTTAACTCCAGGTCTTTCATGATCATACTTGACTTTGTCTTCTCGAGCTGTCCTTTGAAATTTTCTGTTCAGCTCTTTTGCTTCCTCATTTCTTCTAGTTAACTTTAGCTTCTCTAGGCTCTACAGAGTGTCTAACAACCTTCTTAAAGCGTTCACTCAAGCTCATCTTCTCTGTATCCATGTGTGTTGGGTCAATGTTAGCTCCATTTCACAAATGAGAAGGCAGATGTAGAGAGCAGTTAAGTGAATGGATCACTTGTGGATCTCGTTGGGTGTTCTGGGATCCACCACAATTTCTCCCTTTCTGGGTGTTCCTGATAGGATGCTTGGGCCAGGATCCGGGGGCTGACCACGAGTTAGAATGAAACAAAAGAAGGAAGGCTGGCTGTATTGTCGGGGCTTTCCCATTGATTTACTCCTCACACAACCTACTTTTAGTTGCATTTCTTCTGCAGTTTGAAATTGTGGAATGGAGGCCCAAGATTACATGGCTAGTAATTACACAATTCAAACTCACATGTGAGGGAAAGCTGCTATCGTGACAGCATGTTGCCTGAACTAGGTATGAGAAGAGAATGCAGAAGTCTGAAGAATTGGCTGCCATTTCTACTGTCCCTCTATTTGTGATATAGAAAGCATCCTCTTGATATGCTCATGACAACCAAGGGTTCATCTGAGCACAAAGAGGAATAGTCAGATTAAGTATGTGGCTTACATGTGTGATTAAGTCAACACTTACTGTGGGCATTCATGTTGATTTGTAACCAGTATTCACCAGGTGATCAATACGAGTATGGGGTAGTGGTGTCCCAGTGGTAGAATTCCTGCCTCCCATGTCCTTGTGTGGCACTGTAGGACCAGCATTAGACTGCTAAGTAAAAGGTCAGCAGTTCAAACCTCCCAGCCGCTCCTTTGAAATCCTATACAGGGTCACTGTGTATAGAGTCACTGTGAGTCAGAACTGACTCAACGGCACACAACAATAACAACTACAACATGTAGTAGACTCAGGGTTGATTCCAGCCAATGTACCTCATCTGTCAGTGGAGGTTTGTGTGTTCCTGTGATACTGACCAGGTTTTCTGTTCAAGTCCCAGAGTATCTAAATGACTTACTCAGTCTTTCAATAAACACTTATTCAGGGCCGACTCTGTTCACTGTCCAAGGAATCCAAACAGAAAAATCCCAGCACTCCTGGAACTTATATTTATGTGTAAATCTCCACGTTGTGATAGCCAGAAGTGGCTGTGAAATGCTGTTACACATTTTGCGTTTAAATCATTTAAATTCAAATATAGTCTACACCCAACAGCATAGCCAAACCTCAAAAATGTGGTGCTAAAGAAGTCAAGCTCAAAAGAATATATCTGCATGAGTGTGTTTATAGAAAATAGAAACCATGCAAAACTAACGTATGGGAACATTCAGTTTGTCAAAATTCATTGAGGTGTATGTTGTGCTTCATTAAAAATGTTCATAGAAATTTAAATAAAGGCACAGAGACACAAAATCAATGCTAGTAGATTTATTTCCAGATTAATCATCCATAAGAATAGCTTCTTCGATCTCTTTTCGTAGATATTTTGGAAATCACTATGTCGATATTGTTGGGTGCCACCAAGTCAATTCTGACTCGTAGCAACACCATGTAACAGAGTAGAACTGTCCCATAGACTTTCCTAAGCTGTAATCTTTTTGAGAGCAGATTGCCAAATCTTTCTTCCATGAAGCCATTGGGTGGGTTTGAAACAGGAACCTTTTGGTTAACACCTGTGACAGCAGGAGTTCTTAGAAATCACTATGTGGTGTATTGTTGTTGTTGTTGTTAGGTGCCATCAAGTCCATACTGACTCATAAGGACCTTATGCACAGCAGAACGAAACACTACCCAATCCTGAGCCAACCTCACTACCGTTGCCACGCTTGAGTCCATCAATGCTGCCACTTGGCCAATACATCTCATTGGGGGTCGTCCTCTTTTTCTCTGACCCTCCACACTACCAAACATGATATCCTTCTCCAGTGATTTGTCCCTCCTGACAATATGTCTGAAGTATGAGAGACGAAGTTTGGCCATCCTGGCCTCCAAGGAGCACTCTGGCTGCACTTCATCCAAAATGGATCTATTGGTTCTTTTGGCAGCCCATGGCACTTTCAGTAGTCTCCTCCAACACCATAACTCAAAAGCATCAATTCTTCTACGGTCTTCCTTATTCACTGTCCAGCTTTTGCATGCATATGAGATTGTTGAAAATACCATGGCTTGGGTCAGGCGCACCTCAGTCCTCAAGCTGACATCTTTGCTATTCAACACTTTCTAAAGGTCTTGTGTAGCAGATTTGGTGAATGCAATACGTCCTTTGATTTCTTGACTGCTGCTTCCATGAGTGTTGATAGTTGATCTAAGAAGAATGAAGCCCTTGACAACTTCAATGTTTTCTCCATTGATAAGAATGTTGTTTATTGGTCCAGTGGTGAGGACTTTTGTTTTCGTGACATTGAGATGTAATCCATACTGAAGGCTGTGCTCTTTGATCTTCATGAGTAAATGTTTTAGGTCCTCTTCACTTTCAGCAAGCAAGGTTGTATCATCTGCATATCGCAGGTTGTTAATGTGTCTTCCTCCAATCCTGATGCCACGTTTTTCTGCATAGAACCCAGCTTCTCGGATGATTTGCTCAGCAGACAGGTTAAATAAGTGTGGTGAAAGAATACAACCCTGTCGCACACTTTTCTTTTTTTTCAACCATTTAGTGTTCCCATGTTCTGTTTGAACAACTGCCTCTTGTTCGAACAACTATGTGGTGTACTTGACTACTAAGCTAAAGTTGGCAGCTCTGAGCCCACCCCGCAGCCCCACAAAAGGAAGTTCTGGTGATCTGTTCCCATAAAGATGGTAACTACTGGAAACCCTACTGAGTTATTCATGTGGAGCCACCAGGAGTGACAAGCAACTCCTCAGTTGCAGTACATTTTTATATGTGAATCAGTCTATTGCAGTACGCTTATTTATTAACTGAGAAACATTTATTCAAAATATTCAGAATGAACAGTGGTGAGCTCACGCATTCCGTCTCCATGTGTGAGATTCACTCATCCATTATTTCAATGTGATGGTGTTTTTGTAGAATTAAGTCTATTAGGTTAAATTTTAAAACCTTTTGAAATAACTCCCCAGAGGGACAGAAAATGAGTCTTCCTGCTAAAAGATAAATATTTACAACCCTTTCCCTTGTCTTGCCTTTAGCCATTTCAACAGAAATACTGGGTTTTACACTGATGTGATTGCCTTCAAGGTGAATGAAAATATCTCTCAGTGAATGCAGACTGACCTAGAATGAGAAAAATCCAAGAAAGAAGAGCATGTCTGTACTCCCATGTGCTCCAGGGTGTTTTCTCTAAGATGACAGGATGAGATTTTTAGAAATGGCTCTTTTCCCTATAAATTTGTATGCAAGTGAACACGAGACCAAGTCAATTTTGCTAACCATCCCCAAATCTAATTTATTGGAAACTGAAAACAAGATATGTGTTCTTTGCTGAAGTAATTCTTTGTTCACTGTCAAGAGTAGAAGTCAGAATCTTCCCTTAAAATTGGCATTTGCTGAAGAGACCGTCATTTGAAGGAGCTGCTTTTTGAAAACATGCTTGAATATGCCCTTGTAATGTCTCCTTTTATTTTTCTAATTTGACCTTAGTCTTGGCTTTAGCAGGCACACTTAAAGCTGAAGGTGACTCTGTTGTAGGTGGTACAGATTTATAGATCTACATAGTCAGTTGAATATAAAAGATTGGGGAAGATCTTTGGGTTTTCAAGTTATAGAATATCATACAATTCTGGTTTTGATTAAGGCTGCCAGTTTTCTAGGAATTGTGGTTTTTGTCAAATGCATGCAGGAGGCACTGATTAGGGTTCTGGTTGGGGCTCTGGTTTACTTTCAGAAAACTGTAGAAACACTCTTTGATGTCATTTGTGCCATTGCATTAACACATCAAGGAAAGGATGGAAAGAGTCAGTAAGTGTGTGCTTATATACTGGGTATCCATTCCAGCTGAAAAGACAGACATGAACAGTTGACCATTTGTGAATGAGCATCACAGTCTTTCTTTGTTTTTTCTCTCTCTCCTGAACTACCTTTTCTAAACACTGTGGGTTGCACCTAAGCCTTTTTATGTTTCTATTGTGCAGATTCTTTCTTTGTGGGTTGTACAGGATGATTTTCATTTCTTCTCTGGGTTTTAATACACGTTTTGCATTCTTTAAAAACGTCAAGGTCTTTCTTTCATTTTAAGCAGCTAATGAATATCGCAAAGTGCATAATGACACTTCTCTTCTAGTGTGATCGGCGAAGAAGTTTGGCTCGTGTAAATTTCACAACAAGTTTTCATTTCCAGTTTGGTTACAATCTTAACTTTCTGTCTTGTCAGCCCTCTAATTTTGTATTTGGTCTTATAGATACGGTCCGAGAACTCCTGTGTCTGATGACGCAGAGTAAGTTGTCTTTTATTCATAGGATTACATTAATTACTAGCTTAAACTGCATGCCTCCAGTACTTACCACTAATTGAAATGCAATTGATGCAAAACACTGAACTGAATAGCTAACTGGCTCTGTGCAGCCTCAGAAAAGCACTTGAAGGTGGAATGTAGAACATATGTTCCATGCAGGAGAGATGAATGAAAACGCAACTTAAGCATGATTCTAATATGCAGCTGCTGCTTCAAACTTAACATTTGCTTTTCCTAGAATGGGCATGTGAAAGTCATTCTTGATACTGTGTGGACATTGGTGCTCCTTCTGAGCCACGGAATTATTCAAAAAAGGTTTTCCGAATTTTGTGTTTCATTTTCAACAAGTTGGGGCTTCGAGTTAATAATGGAGACATCATTCCCATAGCCACATTTGTTGTTTTTTTTAAAACTAAGAAAATAAACCTTCAACCACTAATTGTACACCCAGAAGCCCAAGTTCCTCCCAGATTGGAATAACATAAACTATGGAAAGCTTGACACCAAGACGTTGGGATCCAGTTCAAGTTCCGTGGCATAGCAAGGGGTGAAGGATATAAAACATGGCTTGGGCTTCCTCCTGCTGCTACTTGGTTTTCACTGCTTTCAGAGGTTTATTTCTCAGCCTTCCCTCACATCCAAATTTGAGAAGAATCTATTCCTTCCCATTGGAAACCACATTAACTGTCTTTCATAATGGGTTTCCCATATGCCGATCATTCTGAAACCAAAATACAAGGTGAGGTTTTCTTTGAGGAATATGAGCCCTCTCAGATTTGAGAAATTTGTGCTTTAAGAACCATGCTTAGTATCTAATTCCAACATCAGTAGTCTGCTGAATAGCTGCCTGGTGCCTGTCCTTTCTGGGAGAGGCACTGGGTGGCCTTGTGGGATATGGGTCATCGGACTCGTGCACTCCTTCCGTCTGCTTTCTTGCCTGGGCAAGGAGGTTTCAAGTCACAGACTGGAGGGGCGTTGTTGTTGTTATATGTCATCAAGTCAGTTCTGACTTGTAGCTACCCTGTACAGGGTTTTTGAGGAGCCGCTGATGGACTTGAACCGTCGACCTTACAGTTAGCAGCCCATTGCTAGCCCTACAGCACCACACCAGAATACACAAATACCAGATGAAAATGAGAGTAGGCAAAATACTATTTTCAAGATATGCATTTTTTCATTTTTTTGTTCAAGATGTCAGCTCCATTTGCATTCTTTGGCCTGAACTAAGAGTCGAACTGTAGTGCCAAGGTATCTGTTTCCAATGGGTGGTCTCCTCGTATCTCAAAACCAAATTCAGTCTGAGTTTGACTGACTACATTAAGTCGTCTGTAAAACTGAGCTCTGGTTATTACTCTGAAAATCTGCTGTGGCAATATTTAACATTCACTGAAAGGAGGATTCTATAAGATTGATAGACAAAACACTACTTTGATTTGTTTGGAAAAAACATTTTGATAGAATGGATTTTTCTCTCCCTTATTGCAGTCTCTGCAATGTGCTTAAATAGATCTCTGGAATGCCATGCTGGTTGTTGTTGTTGTTAACTGCCATCAAGTCAATTCCAATCTATAGCGACCCTGTACAGGGTTTCCAAGGCTATAAATCTTGACGGGAGTAGAAAGCCTCATCTTTCTCCCATGAAGAGGCTGGTAGTTTCGAACTGCTGACCTTAAGGTTCACAGCCCAATTCATAACCACTATGCTACCAGAGACTTCCTGGAAAGCCAAAGCCATGGAAGGTGAGAAATATAGGATGCTACGTTTTGAGTTTTGTCGATCCCTGAATACTAAACCTCAACCATGGGAAAGTTAGTGGATTTTGTTTGGTTTGTAAAGGAATGGGCATGTTGTTGTTGTTGTTGTTGTTGTTGTTGTTGTTGTTGTTAAATGTCGCTGAGTCAGTTCCAACTCATAATGACCCTTTATAGAATTTCTGAGGGGCGGCTGGTGAGTTTGAACTGCCAGCCTTGCAGTTCAAACAGACTTTATTGGTGAGTGCTTAGCCTACAGTACCACACCAGCATTCTGGAGGAATGGGCATAGAGCCTCTGTTTCTCCTCCGTTAAATTTACAAGAGGCAGTCTCATAGACTGGGAAGAGTAAAAAAAGAACTGTTTGTCCAGAGGTCTTACCTAGGAATCTCCAAGCTACCAAATTTCTTGCTTGAGGTACATACAATGTAAAATGCAGTGGTATGGGAACCAAAATCAGAAGTTTCTGTCAGGAGTTTATCTTTTAAATAGAAAGGTACACTATTTTTAGATGATCTATTTCCCCCACTACTTCTACAGAGTCTTTAAAGACAATGATTGGACCAGATTAAATTTATTATTAATTGATACATTCCAAAGGTACCGACCAGTCAGAAGAAGATGGGTCCTTTAAGGAAAATGCAGGTCAGGGGCAGACCTACCGCACAGGCAGAGAAATGTCTGCCTCCTGGCAAGCCAGGAATGTTTCCATAGATTTCCTTTCACCTCCTTGACCTTGTCCTCACTTCCACAATTCAACTCTCTCACCACATTCTCACAAGAAAACAAAAAACAAAAACAAAACTTGGTGCATTGTAAAAGCTGTAGATGATTGTCTTTGTAATTCCCTTTCTGTGAGCTTGGCTAAGAAACAATTTCAGGCTGCCTGTGACAATGATTGGATCCTGGTCCTCACCATTGCCAACCCACCACCAAGAGACTCTTGGGCCCTGCAGTAAGATAGCATTGTCCCTACAGCCCAATGGACTGTTACGGACTCCATACAATTCACACTAGAACTTGAGCTTCTCCAGAATCCTCCGCCCAGCCCCAGATACACGTCTTCAACCTTTGAACTGCAGAACCTCTAAAACACAGAACATTCTCTCCATGTTGACTCAGCCCCAGTTTCTGCCTAGTTGTACTAATTCTCAACTTTCTCAGTTCCTCTTTTTGAAATGGCATAAATACATTGCTTACAGTTATTTTTTTGGCCAGTTTCCTGGTATTTCTTTAAAAAAATTTTTTTTTTTGGAAAATAATAGTCCTTCCTGTATATGAGAGGGCAAACAAGAGCTTCTGTTTTTATTTGGTTAACCAACTCTTGACCACATTTGGGCTGAGGTAGTTAGAGCTTCTGAGTAGGAGGAAAGATGGGAACCCAGGACAAAAGAATGTGATTTTGAAAGCCTTGCTCCTGTTCTCTCAGTGCCCATCGAGTGGGAGAACTGAAACCCAAATCCCAGAGAAGCTTACCATTCTTTTTTTGGATCCCAGAAGAAGGCTCGGCCCTATGGCCACTCATTTTGGTCTACTCCAAAATTCTGTGCTTTAAAAGTTATAGAGGGCAAAGTCAAAGATAGGGGCTTTCACCCCCACAATCAGCCTTCTATGTAAGTGGAATACAAGAGGGTCTCAGCTCAGACACCTTTAACCTTCTAAGATGTTAGCAGAGATCGTAAATGGCCTTAAAAGAGGAATTCATGGAATTGGATATATTTAAAGGTAAGATTGTTTTTGTTTTCATTCGTTTGGTTTTTCTTTTTAACTGTGAGAAGAGGAATGTGGTGAATTTCAGTCTCTTTCGGGAAAGTATGTTTAAGTGAGTTTTGACCCACAAAGTTTTAAAAACATGGGTTAGATTTTTCTACTTCACCCTGCAACCTCTCAATTCTTACATGACATTTATAAATAGTTTGATAGCTTAAAATAGGTGAAAAATCACACATACACACACAGCCTTGAGAACTACATTTTATCCTTCTAAAGGCAAAGCTGTGGAAATCACTACCATCCATGAAGCATGTTTTTTACACAGTTTTATCATATCTGTGTTCATAGAACTCTCCTAAGTTCTATGTTGTTATTGTTGTTTGCCGCTGAGTCAGTTCCGACCCATAGTGACTCTATACAGAGTCTATACAAACCCTATACAGGGTTTCCAAGAAGCAGCTGGTGAGCTTGAACCGACGACCTCGAGGTTCAAACTGACGTCTAACGTACTAATGCACAGTGCCACATGGGAATGCCAGTTCTTCTTTACAGTTTTATTATCAAATACTCTTGAGGAAGACCAATTACATCTACAGTCTTCTGTTGTCTAGTTCTCTTTGGTCAGACATGTTATCCAGCACCTGTATTGAGGGCAAAAACAACTCCATAGCTCTGGGGCACATTCATTTTGAGTGGATTGATAATGCTAATAGAGGCCACCATTGTTTGGGGAGGCATCTTCTCCTTACAGAACAGGGAGTGCTGAGGAATTTACATATATCTGCATCCAAAGGTTTGACTATGGGGAGAACTATTTTGGTCAACACTCTGGTGTCTGGAACTAGCTTTTCTTTTTCTTTGTGTTAAGCTGGCTTCCAAAAATTTACTCTGACAGTTGTCCTAGCAGTTCCTAGCAGGTAACAGTCAACTTTAACAGGTCCTTCATGGGATGATTTTTGAACTGCTTAACCTAGTTAGGTAGTCATTTCTTTGAGAGGAAAAAAAATGAAGAACATGGGTTTAGTTTCTACTTCAGTTTTCATCTTTCTGCTTCAGTTTTCACTGTAATAAAGTTCTACCTAAGGAATACAGAAAAGGCCCTATGATATTGCCCAACATTTAAAAGACTGTTATGGAGTAAATCAAGTATAACTACAAAGGATTTTCTAAGATAATCTTTTTTCTACCTCCCTTTTTTTTTCTCCTTTTTTTAAAGGAGTAAATTCTGAGACATCCTGACAAAAATAAAACAAAATGATTGTGAGGATATTAAAGTACACAGTATATATTGGTGCAGAAATTTTACTACTTATTCTTACCATAAAATAGTTTACTGTCTTGGTTCCAAGTTGCCATCAACTGCACTATCAAGTTAAAGACAATTTTATAGGAAATAAAAATAATTAACCACATGAAACACATGCATCAACAATTCATAGATGTTGGATGCATCCAAACATCAGAAAATGCAATAAGAAAAATATGGATGTTTTCAACTTGAGGCCATCTGATACCATTTTCTGAAAATGGAGACACTACCTCCGTTAACATAGAAAACATGTATGCCAGCTTTTTACACAAAGAAGCATTGACTGGAATAAAGTTTTCCTGCATGGAATACTACTCTCTTCCCCACAGGATTCTTCATTTTGTCTTTTTCTATATTTCCAAATGGACAGTATCCAGGGCTTCAAAGATATTTTCCTAGTGTGTGTTTAAGCATATGCTGACACCTACATTTAAAATTACTGAATGACATCTCTGAAGACAAAGATGATCAGATATTGCTTTGCCATCAAAAGCAGTAAAGGTGGGAACATTAGCATGCCCCCTGTTCGCTGAGGGACCCCAACAGGCTGCAAATCCTGCTGCTGTTTTGTGCTGCTGAGGGGACGGGCAGTTTTCCAAGTACGGTGGTGCCCCCACGTGGCAGAATGCCCCAAAACCTGCGGGGAAAGGACGGGTGCTGATCCGGGTCAATTTTTGTTTTGCTCTCTCCTCACTCAGGAGCACTAGTATGTTTGACGTGCGGTGTGAAGAGGAGGCCACAGTGCAGCCACACAGCAAGGCCCGACAGGAGCAGCTGCAACTGATCAATAGCCAGCTGAGGGAAGAGGATGACAAATGGCAAGATGTGAGTACAGGCCAAGGCCCCAGGCAGCAGGAGGCTGCTCAGCGTGATGGCAAAGAGGCTCTGGGGCAGAAAATCAGGCTGGCTGGGTAGACTTGGATGTGGAAAGCCACGCAGGCAAGCTTAGTTTGGGGATAGCTGATGAGAGGAAGCCTGTGGAGGATTTTAAACAGTGAAACAGTAAATGTAGGAATTCAAAAAAGGTTCCTAGTAACTTGAAAGATGAGGAGTGAATGACCCCCAAAACCCACTGCACTGTCAATTCCAACTCATAGCGATTCAGAGATTCCCAACAGAGTAGACCTGTTCCCTAGGTTTTCCAAGACAGCAAATCTTTATAGGAGCGGACAGCCTCACGGCCTCATCTTTCTCCTGTGAAGCAGCTGGTGGATTTGAACCACCAAATCTTATGATTAGCTGCCCAAAGCTTAACCCACTGTGTAACACACGTGTAATCAATAGTGCTTTTTCTAGAAGCTTGGCCACAAGGGAGAGTGGCGTGGGAGGGAGGCATCTGGAATGAGATGCAGGATTGAGAAAGCACGGTCTTTTGAGTCAATATTTGAAGTATTTGATGGTGATAATTGATAACACTGGCAGTGTATCAGTGCTAGGCACTATTCTAAGTGCTTTGCGTGGATCCTGTCATTTCATCCTCTTAGTAACCCAATCAATTCCAAACCCCAAAGAATGAACTAACTTGTTCCAAATCACACAGCCAGTGAGTGGAGTAGCCAGGATTTGAATCGGGGCAGGACGGCGCCAGAGCCTGAAGAGGACCTTGGTATCTAGGGCAGATGCTGGAGCTTGAAGAGATGAGGGGCCTTCAAGCAGGTCATGGAAGCATGGAATGAAATGATCAGGAATCTTTTCAAGCCCCCCTCAGGGAACGAGAGTCAATTATGTCATTTAATCTTCACAGAGCATGCTTAAGTAGTATTCCAAACATGACTCTACCATTAATCAAAAGAGTTGTCCAAAGTCAGTAAAATGATGGCTCCAATATATTGAAGACTGACTATCTGTTTGGCACTGTGTATACATTATCTCACTTAACCTTCACAACAAGCCTGTGGTAACTGTTATTATCATCTCCATTTTAGAGCTGGGGAAGCTGAGGTGCCGAAAAGGCTAAAATACTCACCTAAGATTCCAAAGCATGGAGGAGACAGAGTTAGGATTATTCCCCAGAGCTGAAAATCCCATCCATTAGACCCTAGAATCTTAACTCCTTATCACTGTGGTATAATGACCTATGGGATTTGTTGTGAGGTTGTCAGATAAATTAATACATATAGAATTATCGGGTCTGTAAGACTCCAAAGCCAATTTTTTCTCGCGTTTTCTTCCTTCCTTAAGGAACCTTTTTGGGCCAGGAACATCAGAATATTCTCCATTCACAATGCAGAGGTCATAAATAAAAATAAATGAAGTTTCATATAATTGTGTTGGGAAGAAGTTCTCTAAAATTTAACCACTGACATGGAGTATGAGTGCATATTTCACATTGATAGGTCTAAATAAATATGCTTCCCTGCTATGGAAAATATGTTGGAGTGTTTCCTGCCTTTGGGGCATTCCTGTTCCAGCTGGACATATAGCAGATTGTGTAGGAAAGCCCTAGTCTATACCATAGTTAGTTCTCACTAACCTCTGAAGAATAGAAGTGAAATTATGTGCAAGCCTGCAGAAGACTATTCTTTCTCACTCCTTGCAGGACCTGGCTCGATGGAAAAGCCGCAGAAGAAGCGCTTCTCAGGACTTGATCAAGAAAGAAGAAGAAAGGAAAAAAATGGAGAAGTTGCTGGCTGGAGAAGATGGGACAAGTGAACGAAGAAAAAGCATCAAAACCTACAAAGAAATTGTCCAAGAAAAGTGGGTTCTTTCTGTTGCTTGCTTTTAAAATTATGGTATTATCTAGATGTGCTGTCTTTTTCTGAAAATTGTTGGTTATCACAGACTGTAACACTAGCATTTTAAACTTTCTGTGCCAGCCCTTCTGTTCTACCTTGGTCCCCACCAATGTCTTCTATGGGATTTTCATGACCACTGATTGTTTCATTTCTTCCCTGTCCCACACCCAATCCTCTAGAGAGCGGAGAGAACGAGAATTGCATGAGGCGTATAAGAACGCTCAGTCTCAGGAGGAGGCGGAGGGGATCCTCCAACAGTACATTGAGAGATTCACCATCAGTGAGGCTGTCCTTGAACGCTTGGAGATGCCAAAAATTCTGGAGAGAAGCCATTCAACAGAGCCAAACTTATCCTCTGCCCTGAACGAACCCAACCCCATGAAATACCTGCGGCAACAGTCACTGCCTCCACCCAAATTCACTGCCACTGTTGAAACCACCATCGCTCGTGCCAGTGTCCTGGATACCAGCATATCAGCAGGCAGTGATTCTCCCAGCAAAACTGTCATTCCCAAAGCAGTGCCTATGCTGACACCCAAGCCTTACTCCCAGCCCAAAACCTCTCAAGAGGTTCTGAAGACCTTTAAGGTAGGATGAGTCCCATAAGAGTAGATCCCAAACTAGGCACTCAATAGAAGGAAGCATCTTGACTCAAGAAAATGCAGTTGTTTTACCCAGCAGAACCAAAGCGTGTTCATATTTGCTACTGTGGAGTTTATGTGTCTCAAGAGCTTTGGGTTTGTAGATAGGAGTATTTCACCTACAGCTGTTGAGTTGGTTCTGACTCAGAGCGACCCTATATGTGGTTTATGAGGCCCAGCTGGTGGGTTTGAACCTCCAGCTTTGTGGTTAGCAGTCCAACGTTTGTCCTACATTGCCACCAGAGCTCCTTATGAATACATAAGGAACCCAATTACTGTGGTTGATCATTGTACCATTTCCATGAGCCAGGACTGTGTTCTAGTGTGACATAGAACAGCATGGTATCTTAGTGGTGGTTGTATGCTGCTGACTTTGTGTTCAACTCATGGCAACCCTCAGGACAGAGTAGAACTGCTCCCTAGAGTTTCCTTGGCTGTAACCTTTATGGGAGTACATTGCCTAGTTTTTTCTGCTGTGGAACCACATGATTTTGAAAGCCAAAATTCCAGCTATCAACTGAACACTTAACCATTACACCACCAGAATCTCTTAGTGATGATAGTTGTGTGCCTTTGAGTTGGTTCTGACTCATAGTAACCCTGTATCAGGTTTTCGAGGCTGTAAATCTTTACGGGAGCAGAAAACCTCATCTTTCTTCTATGGAGCAACTAGTAGATTCGAACTGCTGACCTTTCAGTTTGCAGCCCAATGCCTAACACTCTATGCTACCATAGCTAACCATACTTTAGTATCATCTGTTCATGAGTTTTCATCAACTCTACAGCAATTTGTTTTTGTTTTTGTTTTTGTTTTTTGGTGATTTAGAGGTGTTGAAAGCCCTCATTGTAATATTTTAGTTGGCTTTGATTTAAATGGTTGATGTGCAGCTGACTGCCCTCTTTTTAAAGAAGTTTTTAACATTAGATCCGAAAAGAGACTATGATAATAATAATGCAAGGAATTATGGGAACATTGGATGCACTTGGTCCTTAGATAATGCAGGTCTTTAATAGGTGGAAGAAAAGATAGGGAACTTAATTTGTTTTTGCCAGTAAATGTGTAAAATAATGTTTCCGAATCAAAGAACCTACAAAACCAACCATCTTTCCATTTCCTCAAACACCAGTGTTTCCCCTCATTCAGAAATGCTCCTTTGTTGAAAGGTATTTTGTCTGTAAAGGAAAATCAACCCCCCTTGTCTGCCCTTTTAAGGACTGGTCCTGTGCCCGTCTAACCTCATCCCCAATGCCTGGCATCTGCGACTAAGACATAGCAAGCACTTGACAAGTGTGTGTGTATTGAATGAACAAATGAGTCTTCTTTGACAGAATAAGTTACTAGGCATGCAGACCCGTGCACACACAAGCATGCTTCTGCCACGCATGCTCGGTGGTCCACTCCAGTAGCTTTCCTTCACCTGCAGTCTACAAATATGAGCTGTCTGTGATATTTCATGAAGGAAGGTTTTATGTTGAGGTTGTTCCGCACAGGAGTAGAGAAAATTTTTAGTTAACTTCGTACCCAAGATCTCTGATCAGTTCATCTAGATGTCCACTTCCCCTCCTTTATGTAAACAGCACATCATGACTCTTTTCAAAAGAATTAGAATAGATAGCAAGATTTAGCTTGACTTGATTTCTGGGACTTTTTTGGTAGAGAAGTATTGGAAGGTTCGAAATGGTGTGATATTTCTTTAGGTTAATTGATTTCAAGGAAGCCCTCGGTTTGCCTTGAGCCTCGGAGTAGCTTTGTAAAAATTCAGTTGCTGTTGACTCATGGCATCCCCATAGGTGTCATAGTAAAACGGTGCTCCAAGGGGTTTGGAGTGGCTGATTGTAAACAGTAAATTGTCAGGATTATTTCCAAGGCACCTGCAGTAGACTCAAACCTCCAATGTTTTCATTAGCAGATAAACATTTGTACCACCCAAGGACTCCACAAGCTGCTTTGCAGAATCCACTTAAATAAGCTACAGCCCCATTCTTACACCTTTCTTTTAATGCATTGTCCCAACACAGATGCCAGCCATTTTGAAAGGCACAGAGGCAGTTGATTTCTTAATTTAGAACTTGAATGTGTATCTGAATGGTCTGGGTCTCCAGCTTTGCTTTCTGTAGGCCAGGGCTGAGAAACGTTTGGCCCAAGGGCTGTACTTTGTTTTTAAGTACCATTGAGTTGGTTCCGACTCACTGTGACCTGACTCACAGCAACCCTGTATAGTTTGAACTGCCAACCTTGGGTTCAAATCAACCTTGTAGACCAGTGCACTATCCTGCAGCACCAAACCAAGATTCTGAGGGCCAGATCAGACTCACAAGATCATTTGACCTGGCCTTGCCAAAGCCACCACAGGTCCAGCCATCTAAATACAGCAGGCTAATTTTTAAGTTGATAATTTTGTATGGCCTGTGAATTATGTTACAAATATCCAAATGGCTCTTGGCAGAAAAAAGGTTCCCCACCCCTGCTTTAAGCCATGAGCTCTTCTTTCTCCCTAGTTGTTCCCATTATATGCTTCTGGTTTTCTGTGTTACATGCATGTTACATCCAAGACCAACCACCTGTGATTCTGAATGTGTTATTTATTTTGTTACAGCCTTGGGTTGGAGAATAGCGTGTTGTTTTGTTCATTCTGATTTTTATAGGTAGATGGAAAAGTTAGCATGAATGGAGAAATGGCTCATGGAGATGAGGAGGAGAAGGAAAGCGAGTGTCCCACAATGACATTTGCCCCCTCCTTAACCAAATCCCAGATGTTTGAAGGTGTGGCCAGGATCCATGGGTCCCCTGTGGAGTTGAAGCAAGACAACAATGGCATTGAGATCAACATAAAGAAACCAAATTCTGTTCCCCAAGAACTGACAGTAAGAACCAAACTTGCTTTTATCTCTTTGGGATAATTCCATTGTAAAGTAGTTTGTTTTAAAAAATTAAATATATCTTGATAATGATTGTCTTGTTCTATGTAAAGTACAATAAAACCAGAGTAGAACTGGTTTGTCATAGTAGAACTATGCCCCATTGGGTTTTCAATGGGTAATTTTTTGGAAGTAGATTACCAAGCCTTTCTTCTGAGGTACATCTAGGCAGTTTTGAACCTCCAACCTTTCAGTTAATAGCCACTCACATTAATATTTGTATCACCCGGGGATTCCATGGGTATAATTTGTTGTTGTTAAGTGCCTTTGAGTCAGTTCCAACCCATAGCAACCTGGTATAGGGTTTCGAAGGAGTGGCTGGTGAATTTAATGTGCTGACCTTGCAGTTCAAATCAGCCTTGCAGTCCAGTGCTTATCCTACAGTGCCACACAGAAGGAGTAATATCATTCATGAATGAGAAATGGCTTTTTCTTGTCTTTACGTTATTGATATCTGTAGGATAAGCACTGGACTGCTAACCAAAAAGTTGGTGATTCAAACCCACCAGCTGCTCCTTGGAAAACTAATACAGGGTCACTGTGAGTCTACAATGACTCAGTGGCACTTAACAACAACAACAACCATATGGAAAAATAGATGAGTATTTAGAATACGTCTCATATTTTTTCTGTTTGTTTAGAACTGTTAGAATTAAACGACTCTCAGTGTGTCAGTTCCAACTCATAGCAACCCTGTAGGACTGAACAGGGCTGCTGCAGAGGGTCCCCGAGACTGTAAGTCTTTATGGGCTCAGATAGTCTCATCTTTCTCCCAGGGAGCAACTGGTGGGTTTGAACCATCAACCTTACAGTTAGTAGTCCTGTGCTGAATTTTGTTGTTGTTAAGAGCTGTTGAGCTGGCTCTGACTCCTAACCTTTCTATAGGGTTTCTGAGGAGCCGTTGGTGGGTTAGCAGTCCAGTGATTATCCTACAGTACCACACCAGGACTCCAGTGCTTAATATAGTTAATGCAATTTGAGGATGATCAATACTGTTCAAACCTGATTTTCTAGTCTTCAAAGCAAACCAAACTAAAACATATTGACACCCAGTTGACCCTGACTCCTGATGACGCCACATGTTGCAGAGCAAACTTTGCTTCATAAAATATTCATTTTCGGAAGCAGATCACCAGGCCTTTCTTTTGAAACATCTCTGGATGCTTTCAAACCACCAACCTTTTGGTTAATCGTACAGTATGCCATGAACTTAAAATGAGGAGAAACAGCTGTAAACATCCATTGAAAATTGGAACATGGAATGTACGAAGTATGAATTTGGGAAAATTGGAAGTGGTCAAA